AATTTTTCTTGCCTTTCAGATTTTTATTTTCTATTTTAAATTAAAGAAGAAAATAATTTTAAACGTATATTTTCCCTATCAGAGTAGTAGTGATGTGCTTTTAAACAATTAATGCATTTTTTTCAGAAAAGGCAGAAAAACTGCCTTACAAAAATATAGAATTAAATGGCTGTTTACTATCTCAAACTAAGGGGAACCTTACTTGAGTATACAGCAACAGACATATTGATTATGATACTAAAGCTGTCAAAAATGAAATAAAAACCTAATTCCATCTTGCCAGGTTCCTTAGGGACAATTAAAGGTTTTACACCTACTGATTTAATATATATGAATGACACTGCAAACAATGTACCTACTATTTAATTTTTAAATGCCCTACAGCACATTTAAACCGACAAGACAAGCCTTATGAAAGCACTGCTGAGCTACTAGTTTCTTCAAAAACAACCAAGTTATAATGCTTATTTATATATCTGTACCATTCAGGAAATGCAGCTTCAGAACCTACCATCTACATGTCCTGGTGAAATCCCTGCCCTATTGGGGGTCCACATCCTTGAACCCAGCTGTGAAACTGGTATTGATAGATTAAGTTTAATAGAATTGCCCAAGTATCTGTCAAATCCTAGTGCAGGGTTATCTTGCACCCCACAGGGGCAGGTTTTTTAATAAGGCTGAAACATCACCCAATAGTTACAGGATCTTTCCCCTCCATTTCCCTGGACTGGCCCGTAAAGTTCACTGATTTCCTCACAGGCACTTTGTATGCAAATCCTGCCGGGTATTGTCAGAGCATTTTACAGATGACTACATTTTATGCCACTACATCTGCGTGTCCTGGGCAAACCTCACTGCTCACAGTTTGTGATGTTAATTGGCAATTATATACAGCACATAAAATAAATTTGTGTGCTTTGGGGGCAACGGTTACCATTTTCCTCCTAAGTCCCTTACTCCTCGAGCAAAATAACGTGAAACATAATCCCGAGCGGTATTTTACAATAAGCCAAACGTGCTCTTGGTTAAAACCCAACCGGGGCCGAGTTTCCATTTCCAGGTACCGTCCGCGGCTCAGAACAAATAGAGCGAAGACAAAAACGTTACCACGTCCGCCGCGAATGAGGAAACTTCTGAACCCAGGTCCACGTTTCAGTGCGATAAACTTCTTACTCATACAAGGAAGAGGCTACTCTCCGAAACAACGAAAACGAAATTATTTCATCCCCGGGCGTTTGGGGACGGTTCCTCACCGGGGCGAGAGCGGCGGGAGCGGCGAACCCCCCCGCGGGGAAGGAGGAAGGGAGGGAGGGAGGCGACGGCGCTTCCCCGCCAAGCCCTCCCTCGGCAGGGTCGGTGCCCCCTCCCGCCACCCCGGGGACGCCCCGGCCCCAGGCGGCAGCGTTTCCTTCCCCCCGGCCCTTCCTCTTTGCTTAGTCACCGTGGAGCCCCCCGAGGGAGGGGGTCGAGGCGGCCCGCGGCGCCCTCCCAACGTCCTCGCCCAGCGCCGGGCGTTGTTCGGGCCCGCGGAGCGCTGCCAGAGCGCGAGGCGGCGGCGGGAGCACGGCGGGGCCCCTCACGGCCGCGGCCCGAGTGCCGGTTGTTCCCGCTCCGGCCTCTACGGTGCGGGGCGCCGCCGAGAGGCGCGGAGGAGGCCAGAGGGCCGGGGCGCGGCAGGGGAGGCGGCCCCGCGGTGCCGGATGCGCGTGGGGCGGAGGGGCGGCCGGGGGAGCCGGGCCCGCTCGGTCGGCGGCCCTGCCCGGCGCTGTTACCTTCATCAGCCTCCTGCTGGCCGCCATCTTGGCTCTGCTGCCGCGCCCCACAATGCATCGCGGCGCGGGCCGGCCCAGCCGCCCTGCGCTTCCTGCGGCGGCGCGCGCGGGGCGGGGGCGGGGCCTGCGCTCGGTTTCGGCTGCTCTCAGCTCCGCTCGGGTTAGGATCGGCTGCGTTCGGCCTGGCTCGGCTCGGGTTCGGCTCCAATCGGCTCCGTTCCGTTCGGGTTCGGCTACACTCGGCGCCACCTAGGTCGGCGGCACTCGGGTCGGATCGGCTCCGCTCGGTTCGGGTTCTGTTCCAGGCGGCTCTGCGGTCCTCGGCGGTGACTTTTGTACGACTGCGTTTTTAATCATCGATCGCTGCTCTGAAGTGCTGCTGTGCCTTATTCTGAGTACTGTGCACCCCCCAAATCTTCGTCGGGGGGCAACAGACAACCACCTGTAGTCCCAGGCTTAATCAAACAAGCCCATGCCATGCTCAGAGCCCTTCTCCGCCTTTATTTCTTAGTTTCTTCACATACTCAGTGTCTTCCCCCGAAAGGAGAGGGAAAGGCGTTTCCGTAAGGCATATCTGATCACAGAACCACTCCCAGCCCCGCTGGTCTCCCACGAAACCCACCCCGGCCTTACCGTACGGTGCACTGCCCGGCTCAGCCTCGCCCCCCCCCCCCGCTCCCAGCCGGCTGTGCCCTGCTGCCATCTCTGGGAGAAAAGAGCTGTGGAAGGGAAGAAAAGGTCACTATCAGGATTAATCGGGACTGTAATTTGCCATGCGCTTTTTAGCCCTTTACTGGAGCTCTAACTGTAGCTGCCCCCCAGCTCTGACCCTCCCCAGCTGTGGAGCTGTTCAGTGCCAGTGCGGGTGCCCTTAGGTATCCAAGACACAGGGCTGGCAGGTATCACATAGGACATAACTTACTACATCACATCTAAAATGACACCAGACATCAGTGTTCGGGAAAGTGACTTGCTCCTTAAAACATTCCCCATTGACCCAGTGTGCTCAGGAATTAGTCCAGGATCCGCTCTGCTGATGCGTGGCCTTGATTCCCCTTTGCCCCTCCCTTGTGTAAGTTCATGTCTTTGCTTGATCTGACACTTGTTCTACAGAACAGGTCATCTGAAAAAGTTCTAAGCTCTAAAATAAGCTTTACAGACTCAGACAACCTGAAAAAGGAAATGTTATTACAAAAGGCTTTCAAAAATGCAACAAAACTTGTTAACTATAAAGCACAAGATTCTAGTACACAATCTTAAAATTAGTCCCTGAACAGATATTTGATAATCAATATCTTACATTAATATAGTGCTTATTGCTCCAAAACTCAATTAACATTTGTTAATGATCTAAGCTATACAGGGCTGACGACGTCGATGACCAAAATGATCCTGAGTCACCTTTTCACCCAGGTTGGGTTTTTGGGGGGTTCAGAGGGGGTCGAGGGGGGGGAGGCAGTTATGGGGGTCCCAGGGGTTACTCGGAGCTCTGAGGGGGAATTGGCAGGTCCCTGGGGGATCCCAGAGGGTCCTGGGTGGTCTGGGAGAGGGGATGGGGGGCAGTGTCAGAGATCCAGGGGGGGTCAGAGGTGATGGATCAGCCCTGGGGGGGTGTGTGTGTGTGTGTGTGTGTGTGTGTGTGTGTGTGTGTCACAGGTGACAGATCAGCCCTGGGGGGGAGGGGGGGGGTCAGAGGCACCCCAGGGGCCACCCTCCCCCCGGCCCCCCAACCCCTGAGGGACCCCAAATATCCCCTGGGACCCCCTTCCTCCCCCCTTCCTGCTTGAGACCTTCCCAGGAGCCTCCACTATCCCCCTCAGAGACTCCCCCAGTGCACCCTGGGACCTCCCGAGACCCCTCCAATGATCCCTTGGACCCCCCCTAAGACACCTCCCCTCCTCGTGTGCCCTGGAACCCTCTGAGACCCCC